TAATCGGGATGGGTGTGTCAGAGGTGGTGCGGTTGGCGCAGGATAGAGCAGGGTTTAGGGCTGCTGTGCATAGGGTCGCTATGAGTTGAAAACGACTGGGCGGCACATAACAACAACAACCCCAAGATTGCTTCCCCCTCATCTGTTACAGTTTCAATTTCACTTGTGCCTTAAGTTCTAACCGTCACAGATGGAGCCCGCCTGGTGGCTGGGGTGCCGGGAGGGAGAGAGAGTAGACAGATCTAGGGGAAGGTGAGTGATGGACAGACAGGGTGATTTTTCCAACAAGTGCTTTCTTCTTGGTCTAGAAAATAAAAACATCATTGGAATTTCTACATCTAACCAAAAGGTCCTTAATTACAATTCTAAAATATCCCTCTTCTGGCAACTCAGTGACATTTTGAGTGTTCCTCAATTGCCAGAAATTCTAGATTAAGCTCAGAATTTAGCCACAAAAATAAAATACAGAGCCAAATTGATAACACTCTTCAATTTCATTATAAAATGAAAGAAACTCTTGGCTGAAAAATCCTCCCATGCTTGGTGGCAGCACTTGGTCCAGGAAGGGTTAAGGCCTCCTATCTTCTCATGGTTCTGTCTGAGTTTTCTAATTGCTGGTTTTAGTTTAGACCTCTCCCACAGTGTTATTGTTGCTGAGTACCTTTGAGTAGGAACCAACCCATAGCTGACCCTCCAGTAGGTTTTCAGAGGCTGTTTAATAACATGGGAGGAGATGGCCCATCATTCTTCTGTGGAGTAGTTGATGGGTTTGAACTGTGTGCTTTCAGGATTGCAGCTCAGTTTCTTACCACTAACTAGAGCCCCCTAACCTCTACCACAGCATTAAGACTGAATAAAAAAACATTTGTTAGTTAGGACTTGCCCTACCTGGTCATCTGGACTCCAAACTCAAAATTATGTGGAACAAATTCACATATCCTTTTCCCTCTGTAGAATAATAATAATAATAATAATGATGATGGAGGTTTACAAAGCAAATTAATTTTTCATTCAACCAAACATACACTTTCCCCCCCCACTCACATTCACTTCAGTGCTCACAACATAACCCCATTT